ACTGTTGCAGCCACTCTGTCAATCTATCTCATTAAAGGTTTTCCTCTTATTTACAGACCCTCTACTAATGTGCCAGACTGCAAAGCCATTTGAACTGCAAGTTCGGCGGTTCAAGCTCACCAGCTGCTCCTCAGACACCCTGTACAGGGTCACTATGGGTCAGAACTGACTCGACAGCACTTAACAACAACAGCCACTTTACACCAAGCATAAATGTCTTTCTCCAGGGACTGGTCCTTCCTGATATCATGTCCAAAGTACAAGAGATGAAGTCTCACCACCCTCCCTTTTGAGGAGCATTCTCGCTGTACTTATTGTAACACAGAATTTTCTTCATTCTTTAGGCAGTCCATGGTATATCAATATTCCTCACCAACACCATAATTCAAAGGCATCAGTTCTTCTACAGTTTTCCTTATTCCTTATCTAACTTTCATATGCAAATGAGGTGATTGAAAATACTATGACTTAGTCATGTACACGTTAGTCCTCAAGGTGACATCTTTGATATAACACCTTAAAGAGGTCTTTTGTAGCACATTTACCTAATGGAATATGTTGTTTGATTTCTTAATTGCTGCTTCCTTGGGCATTGATCATAGACCCAAGTAACATTAAATCCTTGACAATCTCAATCTTTTCTCTTTTTATCATGATGTTGCTTATTGACTCAGTTGTAAGGATTTTTGTTTTCTTCTATATAGAAGTGCTATGTGGCGCTGTGGGCTAATGCATCAGACTGCAAAGTCATTTTAACTGCAAGGTCGGTGGTTCAAGCTCATCAACTGCTCCTTGGAAATCCTATACAGTGTCACTATGGGTCGGAACCAACTCTACGGCACTTAACAACAGCAACATCTTACCCCCAAATAAATCAGCCCTAAAAATTTTACATGAAAAGATGTAATTTCATCTTAACTGTAGGCTGTGGTTGTTGTTAAAAGCAGTTGAGTTGGTTTGAACTCATAGCGACCTTGTATAGGGTTTCTGAGGAGTGGCTGGTGAGTCTGAACCATCAACCTCACAGTTCAAACCAACCTTGTGGCCCAGTGCATTATCCTACAATGCCACACCAGGCTACAGAAGAGGAAAGAAGCTGTTTGAAAATGTAATGGTTTGTCTTGAAAGTGGTGTGTTTATTATCCAAATTATGGGAGAGATGAGACTGGACACTAGCAGACTTGCTGTAAGGGAGCTGAAGCCCTAACTGGAGCGGAGGAATACACTGCCTTTAAAGTAATTAAAGTCAACTTCAAGGTCCTGCTCAGTTGTCTAATTCAGCAAATATCTAGTCCACTAAAACTTATAACAGTCTTGGACTGAAATCTGTAGAGTGGCACTTTCTACAGTGATAAAAATGTTCTAGATCAGTGTAGTCCAACTTGGGAGCCACTGCCCACCTGTCATTACCAAATGCTTGAAGTATGCAAAGTGCAACCGAGAAAGGGAATTTTTCATTTTATCTCATTTTAATTTAATTGCCAATGTGGTGACTGGCACCATATTGGCTGGTACAGTTCTAGAAAGACTACCTAACCTTATCTTGAACAGTGGGATCAGAGCTGCATTTTCAACATCAACTTTTAGAAAAACACTAACTTCCAAAGCATGAAAAATCAAAAGTCACTGGCATGGAGCAAGAAAGAAGGTATCTGAATGTGTATGCTTCTACATACACGAGGGGTCAGAAGAGATCACCATGAAAGACCCTACAGAGAAATCAGCATTAGTCCATTGTTCTTGGTTACCTTAAGGATCAAACAGAAATGATTTCCTGGATAACGCAAGCAATTGTGAAGGTTGCAGTTATCAAAATCCATTCAAAAATAACTGGTTAAATGCCAGTTGCAGAATGCGGCAAATTTCCTGGTAACTTCTCCCTGTGCTAAACATACCATGACAGTGAAAATCTACTTTCTTGCTTCTCTTCCTTCAACCAACTCACAGTTGTCACTCCCCTCTCTGTACATAAACCACTCTCCCAAGGAGTGCAAATAGTTAATGCTGTTAACCAGAAGGTTGGAGATTGAGTTCCTTGAAACACACCTTGAAAGAAAGGTCTGGTAATCTGCCTTCTCTTTTACCAGCTGTACCTTAAGCAAATTAGTCAACTGGTTGCTTCAGTGAGAACTCTGGATCAAGATGGTCATTGGACTGTTAGTAGTGATAGAAAAATTTTAATGGATAATGATGGTGGTTGCACAACATGATGAATGCAATCAAATGTGTCACTGAAATGTGCATGTAAAATACAAGATCAAGTAAAAAATTATTGCTACTGGGGTTCCAACTGATACATGCAGGGTTTTATTACAAACAAAACATATTTAAACATGCCTCTGTAATCAGTGGGTGGTTGAAGACAAGCTCTCTCTGTAATACTTGTCTTATTTCCATTAGGATATCATCACACAAAAATAAAAAGTCCAAGGGAAACACTGACTGATCTACTGGGCCAGTTAAATTCAAGACTGAGAGATCCGCTTAGAAGGTTATGGTTCGTGGTAGTGGTTACATGCTGTGTAGTCTGCTCCAACTCATATAGGGTTTCTAAGGCTGTAAATCTTTGCGGGAACAGAAAGCCTCATCTTTGTCCTGCAGAATGGCTGGTAGTTTCGAACTGCTAATTTTGAGGTTAGCAGCCTGACTCAACCACTGTGCTACCAGAGCTCCTTTAGAAGGTTGTGAGAACTGTTTTTGGGGACTCCAAAGGGGTAGTCTTAATAGATTTTCTAAAACAACACAGGACAAATGCAGAGGTTTATTATGAATATGTTTTAAGAAAACTGAAAACCGTATTGTTGAGGGAAAAAGAGAAAATGCACTGAGGAATTTTTTATTTTTTTCTATTACAACAATGCACCTGCTCATTCTTTAAGGGTAACAAGGGCTGTCTTATGAGAATTTCTTTGGGAAACCTTACCCCGTTCACCCTACAGCCGGATCTTGTCCCTTCAGGCTTCTTTTTGTTCATAATACTTAAAGAACATTTAAAGAGAATAAGATTTTAATCCCTCAAGGATGCCAAAACCATTTTGACATGTTGTAAATCAGAGATGCAAACTTCTTTGAGGAAGGGTCAGAGAGACGGAAACACCACCTTCAAGAAGTGTACAGATCGATATAGAGGATATGACAAGATAGGTTCATATTTTGATAGTTTTGTTTAATAAAGATTTCTGTGGTTTTATAATAATGCTTTTTTTTTTTACTTACCTTCATAGGTTGAATTGGCAAATGTTTTGTTATAAATGAGGAGCCTTCAACAAGTTTGTGGCAAAAATGGAATTACAATCTGATGGAATTTCCTCACAAACTTCCTGAAGCCCTCTCATGTTTTTGCCACACACAAAAACACAAAAAAAAAAACTAGGTCACTGAACTGAATTGATAAACCAGAGCCCTATGTTGATATGATGAAAGAGACCTGTAAGATTTCTTTCTGCCCTACCACATGTCTGTCCTTTGATTGAAAAAGGGTCTGCCCATATACAAATATCAAGAAACACACCTCGTACATACAAAAAATACAAAATCTACCAAAAAGTGAGAAAAACTTTTTTAAAGGAAAACTGTGATTGGAAACAGTGGGGACTTTTCCATCTAATACGTTACTATTTATTGACAACTGGGAGATGATGCAAATGGTTAATGCTGTTAACCAAACACCCGGAGATTTGAGTCCACCAGGACATCCCTTGGAAGAAAGGTCTGGTAAGCTACTTCCCAAAATAGTCAGCCATTGAAAACTCTATGGAGCACAGCTCTGCTCTGTGCTCCATAAGACAACTCCACAAAAACTGTCTATTTTCCTATGTGTCTGGCACTGCATTAGACACTGATGGTAGAAGAGATAAAGTCCCTTCTCCCTGGAGCTTAAAATCTAAGCAACAGAGTTCATATTTATTTATCTTTTCCACCACACATGTTGTCTCCACTTCCTATCATTGTTGTTACTGTCATCAAATTGATTCTGATGCTTCAAGAGGGAACCTAGATCCAGAGGGCCTGGAGGAAGGTAGAATCTCCACTGAGTAGTATCCAATCTGTCTAGGCAGGGCTGATGAAAGGAAATGCATATAGGTCTCTTGAGATACAAGAGTGAATCATTGTTATCAGGACTGATTGTGAGGGTTGGAAATGTAAAGGTAGATGTTTTGCAGCAAAAGGAGGGGAGTGATTGACTTTGCAGTCTAGAAAGCGGAGGTCCCTGGGACCATCAAGGAAAAAGAATGGAGAGCGGGACCCTACCCAGAAAAGCAGTGATGCCTGAGACGAAGGCAGAGATGATGACATGGAGAGATGGAGCAGCTGGGGACTTTAGACCCAGAGAGGGAGAGGGGCTGTGTGCTGACGACCGGGAGGCAGGCTTGTAGTGTATACTTCTGACTGGTTGATGATACATGGAGGGGATTGTAACCATGGCAATGAAACGATATACAATAGGATGAATGTAAAACTAATGTTTTCCCGTGTAAACTATCACATAATTCACAATAAAACATTAAAAAAACAAACTGATTCTGATGCATGGCCATCCCATGCAGGCAAGGGATTTTCAAAGCTATGATCTTTTAGAAGCAGATCACTTCTCTGTTGGATTTAAACCACCAGCCTTTTAGCTAGTAGTCAAGAGGGGTTTCTAATAAAAACTCTGAAGTGTAAATATCATTATGCCCATCTTATAGATACAGAAGTGAAAGCTTAGATTTGCCCAAGATTACCTGGATCTGCGTGCTGTCTTTGCTTCTCCATACTGACCACCTTGTACAGTCTTTTTCTTCTGTTTCCTCTTGAAAGGATTTCTAACATGAGTAATCTAAAGGAAATTCCCTTACCACAATAGATTAGGAGTGCCCAGGAAATCTGGTGAGCAGGAGACCCACTAGCAGGCATTTGAGGGGGGCGAGAATGAATCACCAACACTCAATACCAAGAAGAAAATAAGTTGCTAAAGTGTACATCATAGTTAAGCAAACAGTAGTTCAGGGAAAACTTACCGGCCACCACACCATACTTCGGCCCGCCAGAAAGAAGCCTCCAACAGTCCCACGATTAGTGGAAAACATAGCCTGAAGGGAAAAGGGTCCAAAATTTAATAAGAAACTAGGACAGCATGTCCTTGCCAGCCCAAAGGACATACCTGGGCATATGTTTGCACTTTCTTCTACCCACTAGACTTTCTGGGACACCTTCCCATTCCTAATTCCCCAGATTCCTAATTCAATGCAGATGAAAAAAAGGTAGACTTCTACATTTGACAGACAAAAAACTGAGGATGAGAAAGTTACACCGCTTGTCCTAGTCCTAGTCCTGCCTCTGCAACTTGCAAGTCACCTCACTGCTTGAGATCTGTATCCTTATCTGCTAAAGAGGGGAAATGTAACTTTGTATGCCTTTCTAACAAGCATACTCAAGATGCCTAATAAAACATCATACTTTTGAAAAGCAAACATATGTATATAGATTATATCTCAATAAAGCTATTATAAACCAAAAAAAGAAAGAAAAGAAGAAAGGAGGGAGGGAGGGAGAAAGAAGGAAAAAAGGAAGGAAGGAAGCAAGCAAGAAAAAAACTCTAAGAACATAAAAGTTAGAACTAAATATTACATAAATCACTGGACATTCAAACTCAATTCAAATCTTTCCTCTCTGAGGATTTAGGTAGGAGCTTCTTAGAATCATGACTTTTGGTATATTATGATAACTGAGGTAAATAGAGAGGAAAGAGAGAGATTCCTTTGGGCTGGGGTTTCAGGAAAGGCTTCAGAGAGAGGCAGCATTTTAGCAAATCCTAAACAAAGCATGGAGCTTTATTAGTCAGGGGAAAGGGAACAGCAGAGGCAATGACCTATAAATGCAACCACACCTAGTGTGGGAAGGGGTGGAGTACCATCAGGTGTACATGGATGAGGCATACAAATGAGGAGAGTAGTGATATGTGGGGATAGACCGCAGGGCCTCAAATTCCTGTCTAAAAGCACAGGTTTCATTCTGTAGACTGTGGGAAGACACCAAAGCTGGCTATTTATGAGAAGACTGACGTGAATTCTCAATAAACGATGGCCATCCCCAATCATAGCTCCCTGAGAATGTTGTCTCTTCAGTCTTTAGTCTATTTCTGGTCCAGCTCAGGTTTAGACTGAGGTCTTCACTACAAAGAATGGATGGTGTCTATACCTCTCTGAAACCTCCCTCCATCCTCTCTTTTTGTGAATCTCCTTCCCTCAACTGAAGTTCAATAATCTCCCTGAAGATGTTAGTGGTTGACTGTGACTTAGCCCTGTCAGTGATGTTTGCATTCCCATAGGTAACAACTGAGGTTAACAGCATCTCTGGTCCAAAGAAATGAACCTCTAGGGTGGCATGTCAGGAACTCAGAAACTTGTCATTCATTCAATAAATATGGATGCTATAGATAACACATTGCTACATGCTCAAATTGCAAAGATGTAGTGAATTTAGCCCCTTAGGAGCAGGGCCATTCATACACTCAAACAATCAACATAGATTTGTTGGGTACCTACTGAGTAGTAAGCAGTGCCGGGGAGAACACGGTTCAGACCTTTCTAGACTCCTGGCAGGGTCCTTCCAACAATAGGATTTGCTCTTAAGATCTCATTGTGGGAATAGCAAGATGACCAACAGACCTACAGAGTAAAGAAGATAACTAGGAGTGAAACCAAAAGTTCCAATGACCCAGGCTCTGGCAATTGATGAGGAAAAGGTCATTCTGAGGATATTCTGAAGGTCATTCTGAAGGTTAATAGCTTTGGGGCACAGTAGGAGGGGCTGAAAAAATATGAATTTGGAGCTCAGATGGAAAACTCCCCATTTGGTCTCAGAATGTGAGAATGAAGATCTAGAAAACATTGAGGATTGATAAAAGATGAGGAGAAGTATATCCACATCCCCTCTGGAATGTTCAGTCCCTCATAGCTGCAAAGCCAGACCCCACGTACCCATCCTGATTTTTTTTTCCTGGTCCAGGTACCCTGCCTCCCCTCTTCCTCACTGTTTGTTACTACAAACAGAAAAGCACTGGTTCCCTGGGCAAGAGATGGGCAAAGAAAAGCTCCAAGTCTCCAGAAGCCCTCTGTAAACTATGGAATTAAACCTGCCTGTCCACCCAACAACTAGAAGAAAATGAATTCACAGTTAAAAGACACAGGGTCAGACGAAGCACACTTACTGACCCATCATGTTTCTGTCTTCCTTCCTGCTTCACTTTCTTTCTCAGTGGAATAAAAAATATATACATCAATGAGCAAAAGGAAGGAACTTCAGCCTCTATTTAGATAAAGATTAGTAACTGGGGGCTGTAGGATTTGGAGAGAGAAGATTCTCGTGTGGTCAGTTATCTTCTAGTCCATAAAGTGGACAAATATGCTTGGCCTGGGCTGTATTAGGCATGACCAAGGCAGGGCTTCAAACCCATTCATTCTTACAGATCCCCAGGTATACATAAGAATCACCTGGGGATCTTGTTAAACTGTACATTCTGACTCAGTATATCTGGGAGTGGAAATGCACATTTTCAGCAAGGTGTTGAGATGGAATTGAGCTGTTGGAAACCCTGGACCAAAACCATGGGAGATACTCTAGAACAGGGGTGAGAAACCCTTTTTCTGCCAAAATTTATAACATCATTCACAGGCCATGCAAAATTATCAACTTCAAAATTAGCTTGCTATGTTTGGTCAAACATTTAGTTAACTCACCACTAATGTAATGGCACTGCAGGATAATGTGCTGGACCACAAGGTCAATTTGAGCCACAAGGTTGGCGGTTCAAACCCACCAGCCACTTTTTGGAAACCCTATACTGAGTCTCTATGAGTCAGAACTGACTCGATGGCACTTAACAACAACGGTGTGATGATGGCTGGAACTGCAGCTGCCTTGGCAGGGCCAGACCGAATGATATTGTGGGCCTTATACAGCCCATGGGCCGGACGTTCCCCATCCCTGCTCTAGGCCATAAGTCTGAGCTTGGTACTATGGTATATTTCTGCACTCTCAGAGTTATCAAGAGTTGGATGGAAGTGGTGACATTTGGGGAGAGATTCTGCTGGAAGAATTCAAACAGAAGGCTGTTGACAATTGTCAAGATGGTAAAAGACGGGACTTGATCAATTTTAAGCCAACTTTTGCTTCCTGAATATATGTGAGAAGAGAAGGAATTCAGCACTACCAGGATGCTATCTCATCAACACACATGGTGGTAATGACCACAAAGAAGGTATCTCTGGAAGGAGGAAAGGTGAAATCATACAGTAGTATTTACCTTGGTTTCATGTTGTCAATTCTGTCTCATGACAACCCTATAAGTGCAAAGGAAAACTGCTCCATTGGGCTTTCAAGACCATGACCTTTTAAAAGCAGATCACCAGACCTATCTTCTGAGGAACCTCTGGGTGGATTTGAACCACCAATCTTTTGACCAGTATTCAAGTGATTGACCATGTATTCCATTCAGGGACTGCTTTGGATCTTAAGACCTATGTTTGAGTTCCGCTCCACCACTAATTCCTCTAAGTGACTTCTGGGCATCCTCTCTGATTCTCATCTGTAAAATGGGAAGGTTGGGCTCCCCCAAAGGCCATTCTAACTCAGGAATTCAATGATCCTATGGTTCAAATGATTGCAAAAATTTTCCAGTGCATTTTTTTTTTTTTTTTTTCTGTAAAAGACCAAATAGTAAGTACTATAGATTTTGTGGGCTACATACAGATTCTGGCACACATTCTTTTTGTTTTGTCTGTTCTTTTACAATCCTCTAAATTGTAAAAACAATTCTTGGCTGTAGGTTATACAGAAACAGCCCAGATTTGGTCAAAGGGTCAAGATTTAATGTGGCAGTGGTGGTTATGTGCCATTGAGTTAGTTCTGACTCATAGTGACCTTGTATAGGGTTTCTGAAGCTATAAATCTTTACATAAGCAGAAAGCCTCATCTTTCTCCTAAGGAGCAGCTTCATACTGCTGACCTTGCAATTAGCAGCCCAATGCATAATCCACTATGCCACTTGTTGTTGTTGTTGTTGTTACGTGCCATCGAGCCGGTACCGACCCATAGCGACCTTATGCACAGCAGAACGAAACACTGCCCGATCCTGGGCCAACCTCACTACTGTTGCCACACTTGAGTCTATTGATGCTTCCACTTGGCCAATCCATCTCATTGGGGGTCTATACCACTAGCACTCCTAAACTCTTCATAAAGGGTTGCAGGATAGCTTAGTGCAATATTCCAGCAAGAATAAAGTTAAAGGTTCTGTTTAAAAGGATACACAATCTCCAAAAGAAAATAAACTGAGAGGTAGGAAAGGAAGAATGATGGAAACTTGTGCTCAAGAAATAACAAGCCCAAGCGCAGATACAATTGGATGAGACTGCGTTAGAACAGGATACAACCAAACAAAATCATGTTGGAAGAGATGGGAATGGTGACCGATGGGAAATTCAACTGTCTTTTCCAAATTGATGAGCACAATGGACCAGGACCATTCTATCTGTACAGTCCAGAGACAATGAAGGGGGCGGGATACCCATCTTGACACTTCAATAGCAAAAAAAAAAAAAGAATGTCCGCTAGAAGAAATCCAGTACATTAAACGATCAGGGTCCAAAGGCACTGGCTAATGAGGGAAGATTAAACACAGACAAATACTAATAGGCTCATTAAGTAGCATTTAAAAGGCAAGTGATACCAATTCACAAATATTTAAAAAGTGTAAACACTGTAATCAGCAGACCTGGAAGGACTGTGATGGGATCGATTAAGGAACAGTTAGTGGTAATTGTCTCTAAACCAAGCAGTAGGACAGCTAGCAAATGATAAATATGTCACTTGCCTCCAACATGTATAAATTGGGATGGGATTGCGAAGGGGTCAGGCAAGGCGGCATGAAAAGTCAGGAATCAAGAGACCTGAACACTTGGAACAATTCCATCTACTATAACCATTGGGAAATCACAACTACATCAGACTTCAGTGTACTCTGCTGTAAAAAGGGGACCTCCTTTCCTGCTCTCCCGTCTCATGGCTTTTTATGAAGATAGAATATCTATCTGAGTACTGACGCCCATTTGATTTTAAGTGACAAAAATAAATCAAGGTGTGGCACTGCAAGATAAGCACGGGGCTGCTAACCACAAGGTTGGCGGTTCAAACCCCACCAGTTGCTTTTGGAAACCCTATACAGGGTCGCTATGAGTCAGAACCAATTTGACGGCACACAACAACAACTCACATCTAAAGGTCAAATGACAACAGTACTCTATCTGGGGAGGATTCTGTAAGAGCTTAGAGAGTCCTCTCTGCATGTTTCTCCGCACCACTCACCCACCCCCACAACCTTGGGGAGTCAGAAGAATGGCTAAGACTAGATCTAGTTTCCACTTGTGTAAGTAAAGTGAGTCTGGAGGCAGTTAGCCCACGTCAATCACAACACAAGCCACGTTCAAGTCAGTACGGTAACTCGGTTATTCTGGCTTCCAGCTGAACATTTTCCACTGTTTATGGATGGAAAGCAGAGGATGAAGGCAGAGACCAGGGGACTTTCAGTTACAACTGATCTCTACAGTTTCTTTTTCAAGAAATCAGCGTGCACATACACACACACACACACAAATCAACACTTCGTTTTGCCTCTTTAAAAAAAAACCTCTATAGTTATGAAAGCGTTAATGCCCACTCTCTCTCCTCTAAATTAAAACAGTTAAACACAGCCATCTGCTAGTATTCAGCCTCCCTCAGTCCTTGGGTCAGACACCTTCCAAATCAACCCTTAAAAGTGGCTGGAATATTGGCACACTTTGAGATCAAATCCTTTTCTGGTGGCTGGGTGTGCCCAAGACTGTCATAGTGAAATCTCCAAGTTCCAGGTGTTGAGAACAAGTTTCTCTGGTTTGGTGTGTCCCCAGTGTCCTAAAAGAGCCCCAGCATTTCCCTCTCCCAGAGCCAGACCAGCCTCCTGCCTCACTCCTCCTGGCCCGCCTGCCCTGACTTCAACTGTTCCAGCCCCTGAGACTTCCTGGCACCACCAGGCCTAGGGGGTCAGCCTTCCCAGGAGTGGGGACAGCCTCCACTGCCACCTAGATACCTGCTGCCTAGCAGTCTAGTCAGAGTGCTTGTGTCCCTCCTGGTGTTTTCCAGCGACAGGACAGTCACATCGGTGGCCTCCTCTCCCAAGCCCCAGTCCCTCCCTGCAGCTGCAAGCTGGCTCCTCAAACCCTCCAACAACCTCTCCCAAACAGAGCATCCACTCCCTAGCATCCTCCTGCCTTCCTGGCTGACGTCTCTTAGCACCTCTCCTGCTTCTCATTCTCACTTGGTCCCTTGCACCTTTCACTGTGCCCTCTAAATGTTCCTCCGACCCTGAAATTAAATCCACAGTCCCCAAACTGTCACTCTCCCTTGCATCTCCCCACCCCACTTCTACCCCCTCACCTCCGCTGCCCTCTTCCTCAGCCAAACTGTCCAGGACCCCCACATACCCAGAGCCCGACAGCCATCACCACCACGAAGTAGATGACGATTACGGAGATGTCGGCGGCATTGCGGATACGCTCGTGCGGCGCGAGGGGCGCAGCCGAGGTAGTGACTGCGGGACTCCAGGTACTAGTGTCCATGGCGGCAACACGTGCCGCCCGTCCGGGCCACTGGCTCCTTATACGGCCTCCTGGTTAATGATCAGCCCCGAGGGGAGGAGACCTGATGTGTCGGGGCAGCGTCTTTGCCGCGCGGGGTCCCTTCGCTGGGCTGCAACTTTAGGGAGCTGGGCAACTGGTGGAGCGGAGTCAGAGCTGCTGGCGAGGCCACGACACCAGCAGGTAAGGGCTGTAACTGAGCGGGGAGGGGCCGGCAGGGAGGGTGGTGCCCGCCTGGCACAAAGGCCCCACTGTGCCCGAAGTCACCTGCCGGCCTGCCTCCTGGCCCACCAGAAGGCTGCACCCCACACGGAGCCAGAGCTGCTCCCATCAGGAACCAGGTGACCTGAGTCATGCGGGGGCTAAGAGGCTGCGAGTCACCCTGCTCTTGGCCCAGTCCCACAATCCCGCTTCTCCATGCGTGGAACAGGTGCAAGACCTGTGAAGTCAGCCAAGTTTTCCCTGGAGAACATCGTGGGGAAGAGAGAAAGTTGAGGATGTCACTAAGGGAATTTCAGCATACTTGCAATCCCTTGTCTCCCACTCTACAGCCTGAAACTACTGGAGGCACTGTTACGGCCACTGTAAGGAAAGAGAAACAGAGGGATTCGCAGGGAACCATTTCCATGCCCTGGTCTCACCTGCTTCCCAGTAATGCCATTCAGGGTCTTTCTGAGGCAGGAGAGAAGAGCAACACCAGAGAATTTCTTCCAAGGAGCTCATCAAACCCTGATCTTTGCTGGGGTCTCCACCACCCCACTGGGAAACTGGACAGAAATGGTCAAGACTTGACTTACCCAGGGCCACACAGGGAGCCAAACAGAGGTGGTCCCACAGCCAGGCCGTGGCAGAGGGAAGGCTGGGGAGGCTCATAGGGGCTGCCTGGAGCTAACAGGGACTGCTGGGAAGAGGGGAGACCTGTTCAGGTGATGAGGCTCAGGGAGCAGGGAGGAGCCATACAAATCCTGCCAGGGCTCTAATCTACCTTAGGCCCTCCCTGCCCACCCCTACCAAACAGTGGTGGACCCGCACCTACTTTATGAAGCTGATGGTTGTTCCAGCTTATCACTCCCCAGAATTGAGCAGTCTTGCACCTTGATGCCTTGAGACCTGCTCCCAAGGCTTGGTCTTCTCACACTCCTCCAAGCTGAAAGTGATCTTTCCACTAAGGTTGGCTGGTGTTGCTCTTCCCCATTTCCCCCACCCTTTTCCAGAAACATAAACTGTGTAAGTGCATACTAAAGGCCCAGAAGAATGCATACACACACATACAAAGTTGCTGTCCAGTCAACCCCAACTCACAGCAACCCATGTGTGTCACAGTATGATTTATTTGGAAGCAGAACACTAGACCTTTCCTCCATGGTATGTCTTGGTGGACTCAAACCTCCAACCTTTCCATTAGCAGCCAAGTACAGTAACTGTTTGCCCCACTCAGGGAAATAATGCCCTGATCATGAATTCCTTTTTTGGGGACTCTGGAAGCAGGGCTCTACACTGAGGGTGCCCTTAGGAAAAAGTCAGCCCTCTGCCAAGCTCTGGTCAGTCCTGCATTCTGTGAAGCATTCTAACCTGACTCTGTGCCAGGTAAAGTCCCTGCCCTCAGTGAGCTTCAACCTACAGAAAAAGCCCAGGTCCAGGTCAGGCTGTGCCAAGTCCCAAAACGACAAAGCAATTCACAAATACCAAAAGTGAGATTGATAGAGGACTAGAAGTGTGCAGGCTTTTAAAGGAGGGACTGAGCCTTCTTTTAATCTTTCTAGGACAGCAGAACATGAATGGGCAAAGAAGGAAAGGGTCATGGCCAGGGAGAAGTCAGAAAAGGAATCCATTCATTCATTCTTGATACAAAAGAGCAGCTTTTCTGTGCTGGGTCATGTGTGCTGACCATGAGGATATAGATCACCAGAAAGCATCAGACAAATACCTATTATTGCTAAGTGCCATCAAGTCGATTCCAACTCATAGCGACTCTGTATAGGGTTTCCGAGGAGCAACTGGTGAGTTTGAACTACCAACCTTGAGGTTCAAACCAACCTTGCAGTCCAGTACATTAACCCACAGTGACACACCAGGACTCCAGACATAGCAATTCTGCTATGTGTTGGATACTCCAAGCATCTAGCAAAGAATTTGACCTGGGAATGAGGTAGGGTTGGGGAAAAGCCAAAGAATGCTCTGGTTTAAGCACAGGCTAAAAGAGGAGACCTGGTGTGATGCTGTGGGTTAATGTGCTGGACTGCAAGGTCGGTTTGAACCGCAAGGTCGATGGTTCAAGCTCACCAGCTGCTCCTTGGAAACCCTATACAGAGTTGCTATGAGTCAGAACCAACTCAACAGCACTTAACAATAACAACAACAAAAGAGGAGGAATGAGCCAGGTGAGCAGAAAGTGGGGAACACTCCAGGAACAGGCAAGCTTGGGACTATAAGTACAATAAACAGAGAGGGGCCAGGTGAAGATAAAAGTAAAAATAGATAAATCATTGGAAAGTAACCCCTAACCGTGGTCATCCCCAGGCTGCTTGAGGCCCTTTTATGATTGCTCCTCCTCATTGGTCTCTCCTAAAAGAAATCCTAGAGTGACACTGTAGGGTAAGCACTGGACTGCTAACTGACAGGTCGGCGGTTCAAACCCATCAGCCACTCCTTGGAAGCCCTATCAGGGTCACTATGAGTCAGAACTGTCATCATGGCACTTATCAAAAATAACAATAAAAGCCAAGTTTTCCTGAATGGATACTTCCAGAACACAAAGGTAGGTACTGCCTGACCCGACACAACTGCTCAGAGCGGCTGGGCCACTGCCCACTGATCAGGATCTTGTTGGCCTCACACTGAGTGCTACTCTCACTCCTGTCTACTTCCCAAACTGGTACCAACCAAGTCACTAAAATGAACCCCAGAGAGAGAAGTATGCCCTTGGCTATGGGGAAAGACTACCACCTGTCTGCCCATTTGTCCCACTGTGGTGCCTTGAATGTTGCTGTGATGCTGTAAACTATGATACCAGTATTTCAAATAGTTCAAATACCCACAGGGTTACCATGGTGGACCAGTTTCAGCAGCTTCCAGACCAAGATGGACTAGGAAGAAAGGTCTGGCAATCTATTTCCAAAAATTAGCTAGTGAAAACCCTACAGTCACAATAGTACATTGTTGTCCAATGAACTCAAACATCGTGGGGTTGGGGCAGGTTCGGCTGTCACAGTGAATTGGAGCCAACTTGATGGCCACTTGGAGCAGCATCAACAATGGGGGAGGATGAAGGTAATAAGGGAAGACAGGCCTGAGAACAGGAAGCAGACTCCAATTAAGGTCCCATGAGTTCACCATTGGCCAGATCAAGGCTGTAAATTTAAAAGGTCAGATACCCAGAGTCGCCTCCAAAGTTTTTGGTAGAAGATTAAATATGCAATGACTCTGAAGTTGCTGGGCTAATGTTTGTAGATGGTGGAGGTAAGGGAAAGAGTAGTGAACTCAAATTTTAGAGGGTACTCTGGTAGCGTAGTGGTTATGAATTGGGCTGTAAATCTTAAGGTCAGTAGTGCAAAACTACCAGCTGTTCCGTGGGAGAAAGATGAGGCTTCTGCTCCCGTAAAGATTTACAGCCTCAGAAACCCTGTACAGGGTCGCTATGAGTCAGAACCAACTCCACGGCACATAACCACCACCTCCACTGTTATTATTGTTGTTAGGTGCCATTGAGTAGGTTACAACTCATAGTGATCCTATGCACACTAGAATAAAATACTGTCCATTCCTGCACCATCCTCACAACTATGATATTTAAGCCCACTGATGCTGCGATTGTGTCAATACATCTCATTGAGCCTACACTTTACTAAGCATACTGTTCTTCTCCAGGGATTGGCCCTTCCTGACAACACGGCCAAAGTATGAGAGACAAAGTTTCACCTCGTCACTTCTAAGGAGCATTCTGGATGTACTTCTTTCAGACAGTTCTTCTGACAGTCCGTGGTACTTTCAATATTCTTCTCCTATAGCTTATTCAAATGCATCGATGCTTCTACACAGTCTTCCTTACTCATTGTCCAACTTTCACATGCATATAAGGTGATCGAAACACCATGACTTGAGTCAAGCACACCATCATCCTTAGTGGTAGCTTTGATCTTTAACACTTTCAAGAGGTATTTTGCATTAGATTTGCCTAATGCAATACATCATTTGATCTCTTGACTGTTTTCATTGTGTTGATTATAGATCCAAGCAAAATGAAGTTTTTGGCAACTTCAGTCTTTTATGTTTATCGTGATGCTATTCATTGGTCCAGTTGTGAGGACTTTCATTTTATTTATGTGGAGGTGCAATCCACATTGAAGGCTGTATTCTTTGATCTTTACCAGTAAGTACTTCAAATCTTCTTCGTGTCTTACAAGCAAGGTTATGTCATTTGTATATCTCAGGTTGTTGATGAATCTTCTTCCAGTCATAATGCCATATTCTTATTTTCATAATCCAGTTTCTCGACATACAGACTGAGTAAGTGTGGTGAAAGGATACAACCTTGATGTACAACATTCCTAATTTTAAATCATTCAGTATCCCTTTGTTCTGTTCAAAGATTGCCTCTTAATCTATGTACAGGTTCCTCATGAGTACAACTTATAGGGTATTGTTGTTGTCAAGTGCCATCAAGTCGGTGCTGACCTATAGTGACCCTGTATAGGGTTTCCAAGGAGCAAATGGTGAGCTTGAACCACTGACCTTGCAGTTCAAAGCAACTTTACAGTTCAGTGCATTAACCCACCAGGACTCCATGGCAAATAACTGGGAATTAGCCAGTGTCTTTTTCTCTGCTTTCTTCAACACTACTCATTTGTGCAAGTCCCACAGAAGTCCCATTCACACCTGCGCATCTGGGCGCTCCCACCCAGCAGATCTGAAGCTAGGAAAGGTCCAAATTTTCATATGTCCACCTTTCATTGGCTAAACTGTGCTTCTTGTCAAAATTCCTC